GAAAATGCGTTTGTACTTGAAATGTCTTGTGTTTAATGAGACCTTAATTGATTTATGGCCTGTCAATGACTAAATTGTAATGTATTAACAAAATTGACTCGCACAAAATTTTTACATGAGTTTATGTTATTTGTATTCATTTGACGAATCACTGAGTTCGATATTATATCGAATTATACGTAGTCCTTATATCATATCTGTCTATGGGCCAGTATTTTTGATCACTTCTCACTTCTCAGGCACCGTTTGGCCCCTGGTCAGGACGGCCGGTAATTAATATTGACTTAGTGAAGAAATTGTACAACGCCGCGTCGCGTCGTTGTTAACGTTCGACCATAACCGGATGGAAATGATCGTTGCACGATTTTCCACCCGTGCAATCATACGCGCGTTTTTACGGTCGTCGCTCTTCTGATAAGGTCGCTGCCGCATGCCGCCTCCGTCTCCGCCTCCACTTGCCTTAAGGCCTCAGCTTGGATCACCCGGATATGGTGTTCTGCTCTGCCAAGGCAAGTGTCGTGCCGTCGCATCGTTAAGGTCTATCGAAAGTGACGTCTTTCAGGACATCTTTCCTTCAATTGGGCTACATTTAGACCGACTTAAATGCAACCTTTTAAGAAAGGTTGCAAATTTCCAAATCCAAGTATTGATAAATGGACCGCGTTAAACAGAAAGGAACCAAGCCGCATCAGCTATTGCCAAATTTAACTGGGCAATTTAATTTTTTACATGAAAACGATAGTGCAGATTTTCGTGCAAATTTCAGTGAATTTTCTCCATAGTACAAAGCAAATTCCTTATCATTTTCACAGAAATCCGCACAAACATTCTTTCATCAAAAATTGAATTACCCAGTTAATTTTGGCAACAGCTGATGTGGCTTGGTTCCTTTCTGTTAAACTCGGTCCATTTTGCAATTAGGAACTACAAATCGTTGTTCATTTTAGAAACAACATATCGACGGTGTAAGTCGGCAATCACATAGCTGCTCCGTTGTATGAGTAATGTATGAGCTGCCCCCAAAGATAAATTCTTGCGAGTCCTCTGTACTTATGTAAAATTACATAAAAAATAAACAGCGACGAGTATTAAATCTCCCATGCATAGAACGTGCCACGTTGCGTAGCACCATGAGCTCTTATCTTATCTTTTGTCAATCATCGAGACTTGAAAATTGAACCAATATACAATTTGCCTAAAAGAATTTTATTGCTTCATCTGAGATTCCTTAATGAGCTGAGTCCGCAGTATTCCTAATAATTTTTTTTTTTGTAAAATGGGGAATGGTCGGAAAATAGATTTAAAAGTGAGAAAATGTGCCGCCTCATGACGTCATCTGGCGGCATTTCCCATTAAAACACATGTATTTTAGCAGATTAGGTCACTTTGTCATATTTCCTTCAATAATTGCTCAATTTAGAATCCATGGATGTCCTCGTGCTGAGTTCTCCTAGTAATTTCATTTTAAACATGAAATTTAAAAAAATTTAGACACCTACAAATTCTCCATTCCATTATTTTCTGGTTAATCTGTATGATATGACTATTATTATACGATTCAACGACACGCGTAACCAGACCCCCGAAGGCGCCCTTAAAACGCTTTTTTTTCAGATTTCAGGTCGTGGAAATGAGGCTGCGTAATATGTGCCGCCGCAACCTCACAGTTGCGCGGAAAACCCGCAGTAATAACACATCCCGGCTCAGTGCCGATGAGCAAATATTTGAGTTGTAACAACAAGTGCAGCCGAATCATCACCAGGAAGAGGAAAATTAAAAAGTGGCGGGGATGTCAGCGACGGAAGGGGCGAGGGGGGTGGGGGTGCGCTGAACTACCGGCGCAAAAAACGGAGGAGAAAGGAGAGGACAGAAACTTTGAATAAACAGTGGGAGTGAAGAACGACCCGAAAGGTGTTCGCTCGAATGGTGCGTAAATGAGTATATGCTTAATAAATTCAGAGTCGGATACATTAACTCGTTGCCCGACAATTGTGCAAACAGCGAAGCCGATGTGCGCAGCGCTGAGCCCTGCCGCCGGGGGCCGCACGCACATGTTCGGAAAGTTTCAGGAGGAAGCGCTGCCGACAACCCGACATGTGTGTGATAAATACTCGTGTACCTGCAGATTATTAGTGGAAACCCAGCGGTGTTGCCTTCCCTAGCTTCTCACGACATCATTTCTTGAGTTCTAAGCAAAATACGTAAAGAGAAAGGAAAACGGAAAGGCACCTCATTAAGGGTAGTCTTGGGGGGCGCAAAAATAATTTGCATCCAGGAGGATCTACTGAACTCCCCCAGATCTAAATAGAGGTTGGGAGAGATATCCAACGATATAGAAACTGTAGATTGGTGGTGGCCTACGAAAAAACGCCGGCGTGACACACATGGAGTGGTCTTTCGATAGGCGGGCGGGGTGTGGAAACGGTCAATTGCTATTTTCGTCATAACTTCAAATACATGGGATCTTATGGAAGTTTTTACAATGAATGATTAAGCGTTGAAATTTTCATCATAAACTCACTTGATGAATGGCTAAGTTCCGTATCTGGACACAGATTTTCAAACAGTTTGTTCTAAATTTGATAAAAGTCCGGTATTCAGGAATAGTCCCATAAGAAGCCATAGAAACCAACTATCTTCATCCTAACCTAATTGTTGCTCCTGGTGTGTTACGAATTTCACTGTTGGCATAGCATAGGATCCCCTTACCTATAGTTTCTAGATCATTTGGGATATCCCTAGTATGCAAAAGATGGGGGTCCGGGGGACCACCTCCGGAGAATGTTGACAAATTACATCATCTCAAGAGCAATAATTTGAAGCTGTTCTCATCGAAAAGCTGACCCACATTGACAATTTCAAAGGTGATGGATATGCCTGGCTTTTATTTTCTCTCGCATTCACTGGAAAAAACGTGCTGGAAAAATCGGATCTAGATTGTAAACTTTTAAAAATTTGACAAGAAAAAATACTTTTGATTCAATCGGATTTTTGCTTGAATCGAGAGCCAAGCCTCTTAATGTATGTGGATTTCCTGCCATCCATGGCTCAATCCATAGTTCGTGCAGCCGTGCATTGATATAAAACATAAATTTTTTTATATTTATTTCTTCAAATTCAATTGTACTGTTATCCAAGACTTAAAAAACTTGACAAAACTTAACTAAAAATGAAATGAAAAGGTGCCGTTAATGAATCTCTCACGTCTCGTGATACACAGATCACATGTATTCACGCTTTAAATTGTGTATGATACTTAATATATACGAGTATAATGTAATAAATTAATTAAAACCTCATTATTCAGGCGATTTTTCTTATTTTTTAACGATGCGATGTGTACATTTTTTGACACGAACGTGCAAAGCTACAAGTAGCTTTACAGTTCGTCGATCAATACGCCCGGTTGTCACAGAACAGTTTTAAGTTTTGAAAATTTCAACGGAAATATCGAGTCAGTAATCTTATTTTTCAAAATGAATATAGATAAATCTAGTTATGAATCCGCACGGAATCAGATGCATCTAGATGAATCTAGTCACATGGAATCATATCGGCGCACAGAACATAGACAAGAACTGTTAGAGTGGAAGCCAACGTCAATGCCGAATTTGCAGGCTAACTACTGTGACATGCGTCATAGAAAAAAATAACATTGGTTTGCCTCCAAGTTTATTTAGTATAAGCGACACCAAGACTTGCAATGATACTGGTGGGTCTCGACAAGCTTTAAGCGCCGAATGACCAAAACTTGAGTTTTTGGTTGTTCGGTATTGTCTAGACGTACCTAGATGCATCTTGTTGCATAACGATACGCGGAAAAATACATTTTTAAGGCCTAAAAGTCCAGCCATTCTCACAACAAATTGAGTGCCATAGCATTTCACCTTATTGATTTGATCGGATTCGAATCTCTCGCGTAGTTATCTTGAATTTGCAAGAATGAAAGGGTAAATATTTGCTCTCTCGGGCCAAACACAAAATTGTAGGAGAATTGATGGAACAACTACAGTATGGTTTTAAATTGCAATCTTCTCATTATTTCATTTCTCTGACCTCTGGGTTTTGGAACGGGTCGACTAAAACAGTTTATACCATTTTTCCTAGAATGCTCTTACATAGCACTTAAGTCTTTTTGAGAATTACCGATTCGATGTTCAGCTGCCAGTAGGAAACGTCTCAATAAAAACCACGAGCTAAAAACGCCTTCGATTGGGCACATCTGCAAAAAAAACAACAGCAGAACAAACAGTTGCCTTCTGGAGTTTCTGTATGATTTTGGTATGTTGATATGCAGAGGCGTGGCGTGATTTGCCATATATCGATTGATGTGCCATTTAAACCTATGGAAAAGTATCGATGAAGAAGGTGTTCGCAGCGAACACCTTAATAATCGATTCTTTACCACAGCTTCAAATGGGGAATTATCGTTAATCGATCATTCACGCCTCGCCACTGTTGCTATGCTATGTACTACAACAATAATTCAATGGTTTACTCTTATGTTTCAAATTTTACGTATGATAATTCATTTGTGTACATTTCAACCACCTGCAGGATGTCTTATTTTTAATTTTTAAACAATGAAACTACATTTTCCACCAAGATATTATTATTCTTGTGTTCTCGTATCTCAATTCACAGCTCGAGGCCGGTGGATATTTAGTCCTCCCCCGGCAATTCAATGCAAAGGAGAGTCCTTAAATTTAAATTTGAAGTAAAAATTTAAAATTGGAATTAAAACTTTAAAATTGGAGTAAAAAATTTTAAAATTGAAATAAAAATTTAAAATTGGGATTAAAACTTTAAAATTGGAGTAAAAAATTTAAAATTGTGATTAAAACTTTCAGTATTATTATTATTATTTTTGAGGGGGGGGGGAGTAGGGTGGCAAGTTGGTACTTAGTAGCTCCTTCAAACATATTGAAAGTGAAACCGAGTCCAGTGGAAGGGGTAGGAGGAAATGCTTTTACCTCCTTCTTGGAATTAGAGGCACTCAATTCTGCTGAAGAAACATGTATTTACAAATGCAGTCTTAAGAATACAAAGGAAAAACAAAAATATAATACAAGAAGGTATGTAGTAATACTAGGCACACAATAAATAAAACGCCTACTTTACAACTGAAGTGAAAAGAAACCCATAGCGTCTAAAGATGGGCGAATATCCAAGAATTAAAATAAATCAACGCTAAAAATGATGAATTTCTTTTTTTTGGCTTAACGAGATTTTCAACATTCGGATCGTAGAAGCTGCTTACACGCTTATTTTGTGCATCGATGGGGTGCAGCCACGTGACCACCATCAACTAAGAGCGTTACTCCGTTGATCATGCTGGCAGAGTCACTCAGAAGGAATAAAATGGTATTGACAACCTCTTCAACCTCTGGAAAAAAGAAAGACAGGGCCGAGAATTAAACATGGGATTTGTATTTTCAAGAATAAAAGAAAACGTGAGTTTTCACCGTGTTTTCTACATAGAAAAAATGTCATTTAACCGATAATGTCTATTTTCTCTTTTTGAAGTGAATCGTCTTTTAATGCCCTCATGCAGAAACGTATCAAAGGTGAAACATTAGGTTTATAAGGTTTGTGTTGTGTTCAAAATCTACCACAGCGCCGATCCTATCTTAAATCAGCTGAAAATGAGCCATTTCAATTGCATGATTATGTAGGTATGTTAATCAAAATTTAAAAGTACTGTATGTGACTTTATTTTATGTTTTTAAATATAAAGTACAATTTTGAAGATTTATATATAATTAGAGGTACCTTTTAGTCAAAATTTCGTCGGTATTTGTCGTTAAATTTGGACCGCGTTAAGCAGAAAGAACCAATCCACATCAGCTATTGTCAAATTAAATTTTCATTGTTTTACATTAAAACGGCAGTGCGGATTTTTGTGCAAATGTCGGTGAATTTTTGCATAGTGCAAAGCAAATTCCTTAAAATTTTCGAAGAAATCCGCACGGACGTTTTCTTGTAAAAAATTAAATTGGTCTTTTAAAATTTGCGACTGCTGATGTGGCTTGGTTTCTTTCTGCTATACGCGGTCCGTTTGCAAGTTCAACTTCTGTTGCCGTACAAGAACACATCATCCACATCCCTGGTAAAAATTGGCGGTAGAATCTGTGTTCCAAAATACCACAGACTTACAGCCAACTGTAAGATTTCCAATAGCTTCAATAGCCGGCAACATAATTTCTTATAGCCTTCAATTGCCGATGGCGACTAAGCAACAGCCTGACGATGAAGTGTATGCTATCCGTTACTAATTACGGATGCTAGAACTTAGTGAGTTTTTGGACCACCGCTCTCTTTTTGGGCCGTGGTATCTTGATTTATTTTGCGAGGGAAGCTTCGTACTTTTGAAGGATGCCTGCCATTCTTAATATGTTGGAGCGCCTTCAATTTCGTACTATACTGTGCAATACCTCTGGTGTGAAACAGTTGCTTCAAGCGCCGTGGTACGCTGCGGCGCAGCGCGGCGGGCGGGCAGCCAGCGCGAAACGCGCATTGGCGCCTACAAACCTAACAGGGATACTTCACGCATTGCGCAGTGCGTGAAGTATCCCTGTTAGGTTTGTAGGCGCGAGTGCGCCGCCGCGCCGCTCCGCTTTTTGTTAGGATTCTAATGTTTAATCTCGTGGAGTCAGCGGTGTTCAACTCATGACTTTGAAAGGTTTGCACACTCTGTATGGATTATTCTCATTTTAATTGATATAAACAAATATGTAGTAAAGGAAAATATAATGTGCGTCTTGTAAATATTATGGTGATTCCGTACAAACTTGCGGATTTACAGAGCACACGAATTTCTACACAATTTCTTATAGCCTTTTATAGCTGATGGCGAAAAAGCAACAGCAAGGCGATAAAGTGTAAAGCCCGGCGACAGGAACTACAGCCCGGCTGTTTAATTTTTTATCGCTTCGTGTAGCCCGGCCGTATGATTTTTTTCCACTTTCTACAGCCAGCTATATGATTTTCTATCACCTTCTTCAGTCGGCTATAAGAACTTCTATGGTATTTTGAAACGCAGCTCCTATTGCCAATTTTTACCAGGGATACTAATTTATTTTTCATTTTCATCCGAAATTTTGCCGCAGTTCAGTTACCATGATAAGCGCCCCACGAAAGTTGGGCCGTCTGAAGGTTTTTTTGTCTCGTTTTCCTTTGGCGTATGTTAAGATTGGTGCCAATATAAGGCTTTCTGAATTTTTCCTATATTTTGAAATCTATTGTTCTACATTATTATTTAAATCGATTAAATCCTACGCTCAAGAAAATCGAATCGATTTGATACGGTAATTTTTTGCATTTGTTCTCTTTTTTTCCTCGAAAAAATCTGCAACACAGATGGTATTTGAGCGTATCGATGTCAGGATCGGATCCCAGGAATATGACATACCTGCAAATCGTCCTAATGGGATCCTGGACAGCATTGGTTCTCCTCGGCTGGGCTCGCCCCACCAGTTGCGCCCCATGGGGGTGAGCACAACAGTAGGGTTGACGCAGTTGACGCGGACGTTGTGTTTACCGAGCTCCAGGGCCATAACACGTGTCACACCGTCCACTGCTGCTTTTGTTCCGCAGTACACTGTGTGATCCTCGTGACCTTTCTGAAAATTGCAAAAAATTAACCAAGAAATTACAAAAATGAATCCTCAAAACATTTTAGCATTGAAAAATATCGACGGAGAAGTTTCCAAAGCGCTTATATTGGTTTGTGGCGTTGCAGACTTTTTGTCATGCTTCATAGTGGATTACAACTACACTGCCGTGCTAAGAAAAAACGCCGTATGAATCTGCAGGCGTTGCCACATTTCTTTCAATAAAATAAGTATTAATTGGGGAGTTTTGTGTATTTTCTTTCAAATTTTTGGACAATTTTGTTTGCAATTTAATCTAAAACACTTGAAAATTTCAAGGAAAAATATGAATAACAATTCTCAATAATAAATTTTTCATCCGAAGAAGTCCGGTAACTCTCGAATGTTTGTACGGCGTTTTTCTTTAGGATGTTCAACGATAAAACACAAAGAAACATAGCCTGAATATACGAAATCACAGCTCGAAACGTCCTGCCTCTTAGTGTTTTTTAAGTGTTATCCTTGTTTACCCATGTTTTAAATCCCTCTCTATTTGTTCTAATCGTTCATTTTCAATGAAATTACGATATAATGAACCTTCAAAAGAATGGTTTCATGGATTTTTGGTGGAATTTTTCAGCCTTAAAGACTTTCCCCCTGAAAAAAAACCCAGATATTTTGAATCGTTGCAATTGAACGTATTTATGTTAGAAGGAACTATGTGCATATAGTTTGTGTGCTTCATAGTTTTTTTTAGCACAATATACGTTCAGTTGAGGCACTTGGTGCCTTGTAGCTATGCTGATCACATTGATCTGGCGTCGCCTCCGATTTTGAAGAAGCTTCATTAGCAAGAATTTTTGAGCTGGATAAAAAAATTCCAAAAAAATTCTCATCAATTTAGAGTTTTCTAGAAAATAAGAATTTTCCCAGAAAATACATTTTTTGGAGCACAAAATTCGCTACCGTATCCCGAGTTGATGAGAAAAACCAATGCCGCGTTCGAACCGAAAAAATCCACAGAAACAGCTCAAACCCCGAGATGACAAAAAAAATATCCATATATTTTTTCAATACGTTGATAGTTGCTATCTGCGTAAAAAGCAAGTGAGTGTGCACTTACGTCGCGTTGAGATCACTTAGTGGGGCATTTAGTAAAGACGATTCACACTACTATACCACGCCACTCTTCATCAAATCTTTCTGCGCACGCTTGAAAACTCTTTAAATCTAGGGATAGGTAATAGGCAATCACTATTAAGCTTGAAACATTGACGCAAGTTAATGTACATTAATGAGCGTTTTTTAAACTTGACGCAACACGCGAAAGATTACTACTTTTTAAATTAATCGATTCCTTTGAAATGGATGATTCATGACCGACCTTCCTTTACCGACACTGATATAAGTTTGCAAGTCTCCTAAAAATCCTTAGTCAACATTCTTCAGTGCTCGAAGTTAACTGGTCTCTCCTTGGCCCTGGTTTTTCCCAACGGATTTTTCACTGAGGAGGTATGTGCAAGATAGCTCTAAGGCTCGTGGGCTTTGTAGTAGCATTTTTGATTCCTTGATTTCAAAAGTATATCAGTTCTTTTTTTATCATTCTCACATCTGAAATGCCTAAAATTTTTGTGGGTGACGTAATTTGTTCCTCTCACCACCGCGTGTTCAAGATATTCACGCGATGCGGAGCACACTACTTGTCTTCTATCTTCTTGCAACTCTGCGAGTGGTTAGAATTCCGGGATGGTTTTTTGTATGTTTTTCTCCTCTCAATTAAATGGGTATATTTTAATAATACGATGGAGAATTTCGCAAGTCTGTGCATTCTGGTTACAAAAAGAGCCTGAAATTGCACTTTTCAATCTTTTTCCGGTGATTTTGGTTATCCGACATCCCCAGGGGCGATCCTACCAGGGATGCTAAGGACAGGGTGCCTCAGCATCCCAGAAATTCTGATAGGTGGCCCAGAGGGCCGCGACAGATTTCTTGTAGAGGAGACCCCCAAAACTTGAAAATCCCGCATATAGGAGGACTTTAGGTTAGTATGAGGAATCCCCATCTAAGAAAAGGGAGCCCCGGAAACTTATCAGCACCCCAAGACTTTTCCAGCCAGTTCGATACTGGACATTCCCGACTTCCACATTGTGTATTCTTTATTGAACGAATGCATTTTTATTCGAGGACTATAAAAACAAAAATTTCGCTGGATACAAATTAAAATGTCTCTCACTTTAATAGGTCCGCCGTTCTCCGGAACCTCTGCAGTATGTGCAAAGCAGTGCTATATTCAACAACGCTGCTGTTTGCGACGGCCCTGGGCTACCTGGTCGATCGTAGTCTTGAGCCGAAAGCCCACGGTCGCGACGTGGTGGAAACGGTGGTCCATCGGATCCAGCGAGCTCGCATATTCTCCGACGACAAAGACTTCTTCCGACGCGTGGCCTACACCGAGAGTAAGTTCGGCGAGGACCCGGAGACCTACCGCGACGGTTATTACGGAGGCATCTGGCAATTCGACCGACTCGCGGCGACCCAGAAGGACGATCCTCATTATGCACCTGACCGTATCAACATCATCCACCAAGGAATAAAGAGAGAGTGGGGCATTGACTGGAAGCAGGTTGGGTTCTTGGATGGTTGCGGGACTCCGAACTTGTAAATTTAACCAGCGGCTCGATTATTGGAATTGATGGACAAAGCTATAGACAAAGGAGACATAGGAAGTATGGAGCGATCCCATTGGTTGAAATGGGTGGTTCCTACAGACTAAGGGGGTGAATGATGGACTAACTAAAATGTCTCTCGTGGGTTGCCGTTAGTTAGTCTATTCCTTTCCTCCTTTGTCCATTGCAACCACCCGCTTCCTCCAATAGGAGCCCTCCAAATCCCTTTTGTCTTCTTTGTCTATAGCTTTGTCTATCGATTTAAATAATCGGCCCGCAGTATAGGGTCCCGTCTGCGCCCTATCAAAGAGGCCTGTGGGGACGACGGGACACTCATAATGGGATTTTTTGGGGTCGACTACCCATATGTAATCATCTTTTATCGAGCCTCTACGTCAACTTAGCGAATTTGCATTTTTTTCAAAAAAGAGGGCTCTGCTTGCCATCTTTAGGGGCCCGTAAACTTCTAATGAACAATTTGTGCAAATCACGAGAAACGACGGGGTTGTTTCGGTACAGACTCCTTGCACCCCTCTCCTCGCTAAGCCAAAGAAGGCGGATTATTGAAATTGATGGTCAAAGCTATAGACGATGGAGGCAAAGAGAAAACGAAACTATCCTATTGGTTGAAACGACTGGTTATTATAGAATGAGGGGGTAAATTTTGGATTAACTATCCATGTGGTTATGTGGATAACTATGTAAGGGTCTCTCGTGGGTTTCCGTTAGCCATAGTATATTATTTTTTCCCCTTTATATATTGCAACCACCCACTCCCACTAATAGGATCCCCCATTTGCGTACAGCTTTGGCTATCAATTTCAATGGTTATTGGTTAGCCCTCTGTTTAAACTCCAGAAAGATTACTATAAATAATCACATTTAACAGAGGATGAGCATGCATCTACAAAAGTGTAATTTGTGTGTTGATGTGTTCCTCAGCATGGGAAGAGAGAGAGTAGTCTAATTAGACGTATTTCTACCAAACAGACCTATGTAGAGGTGAGAAATATGGGGTGTGCTCTAGAAAGCTGCATAAGAAGCAATGTAAAAGTGGGCGTGATTCCTTTTGTAGAATTGGAAAAGCGGGATATTACATTCTATCAAACAGACCTATGTGCCAACTGAATGCGGAACTCATGAGCCGCGGGCATGGCAAGAGAGCGTTGTGGACAGGGCTCATGAGTTAAAGACTCCCTCCAATAACGAGATCCCCCGTCGAGCCGCGACTCGAATGGACCACTAGATAAGGTACGAATTTCAGCATTCTGATACATGTTTCTTAACCAAAATTTAACGTAAAACACGATGCACACAACGAAAATTACCGAAATTAACTCCTTACGAAGATATTTAATGATTCTTAATGCGTGAATTCAAACCACCCGCTCATGAAAACTCAATGCTCTACGTGATTCACATCGCGCGCTAGACGTTATCATGACAGTATCTGCGATATAAAAATCTGGCAACCTCAATCTTGACGCTTTGGCTCAGTTATAGCAAATTGCTAATAGTTTGAACAATAGATGATGGGAAATAAACATTCCTCGATTGAGAAGCTTGCTGAAACCGTTGTAGTGGGCGATTTGACTCACGTAGAGTTTTGAGTTTCTTGTGAGCGGGCAGTTCAAATTCCTCGTAACCAATGTGAAATAAAAACGTTGATATCTTCGTTAGGAGTTGGTTTCCGTAATTTTCGTTGTGTGAATCGTTTTCTACGTGAAATTCTGGTTAAGAAACATGTATCAGATCGCTTAAATTCGTACCTTGTCTAGTGGTCCATTGCCGCTGACGTCACTGGCGCTTTATTATTCTCATTCACTCTTACGCAAAGAGAACCAACGAGCACACCCCATATTTCTCACTTGCACATAGGTCTGTTTGGTAGAAATACGTCCAATTTATAATGAGAATGTCTGGCCAGGTGACAGACGAAGATCTGCTGAAGCCGTTCTACTCTGGCCTGGCCTTCGCCGTCTACGTCGAGCTGAAGTCACCATCTCGAGCTCCGATTCCCGACACGGTCAAGGGTCAGGATGGATACTGGAAGGACTGGTACAACACCAACTACAAGGGCAAGTACGGAGATTTTGAGACGAGGGTCCAGGAGCTGCTCGAGGAGGACATGCGTACTGAAGGAGGAAAGATAGACATAATGGTCGCAGTGGACGGCAGCTTCAGGGTCGGCTTCGACGCTTTCGCTTCGGTTCGCGATTCGGTGGCACGCCTGGTAAGTGGTAGAGTACCTATATTGAGAGAGTATGGCCACTGGTGTTACCACCTCTGATTGGCTCAGCCATCTTAGGCTGAATGGAGCTCTTAGGACCCAAAAATGGCGGACGCCATAAATTAATGTAATGCAAAATGACTCAAAATGTAGTTTTCTTTGCTTATCGTAACGAGAAATTTACCCAAATGCACTATTGCGACTTATTTACATATTTTTAAGGCTAATCGTGTGCAATTTTTGAGAAAAATTATCTTAGATGTAGTAAAGTTGGCAGCAAGTGCGGTTGGTGATAACCGTCAAAAGTTGGCAATGACCCCCCTCCCATCCACAAAAACCAAAACAAAGCACCGCCATTTTTGGGTCCTAAGCCTCTCCATGGGGCCCAGTGGCCATAATCTCTCAATATAGGTACTCTAGTAAGTGCGACTTCGAATGCAGTGACGATTTTCCCAAATTAATAGGTCAGTTGCGCTGATCACAGAATCAGGTTTTGGTGCTTGATTCTTGTAGTTTAGCTGAAAGTTATATGAGCCGTCCAAACAGCGACTTTCTGCGTTCAACATTCACAGAGATATCACGCTTTGAAAAAATCGGTTTATGACGTCATCCACCGCGGAAGTGACACCCTTGGTTTCTTCCACCTTAATTTCATCCGAGTTTCACGTTGAACAACCAGCGCAAACGTGCGTCACACTGATTGATGAAAGCGAGATGGAAGAAACCAAGGGTGTCACTCCCGCGGTGGATGACGTCATAACCCAATTTTTTCAATGTGCGATATCTCGCGGTTAATATTGAACGTAGGAAGTTGCTGTTTGGACAGATCTTATTATTCTCAGCTGATTTGCAAGAATCAATCATCAAAATACGATTCTGTGGCCAAAAAAATGACCTTTTGACCACAGATGCTGCACGATCTTGAATACACCGTATATCGACGGTGTAAGTCCGCAACCACGTATCTCGGTTTGCGACGTTGCAGACTTCCTGTCATATTTTATTTTTTAAACGGAAAATTGCTCAACGGCGGCTCAACGAAGCGTTTCGTCAAATTTGTCGAAGTAATAGAAAGTCTCTCATGTTGTCACATACTCTGCTTAAATGCACTTAGTGGACCACTCGGGGGTAGTGCAAGTATTTTAAAACATGTTTTCGAAGCGCATAGCGACGGTGTAAGTCCGCGACCACGTAGTTCTCTGCGGCTGGGAAGGAAGAACTTTGCTTGAAATCGCGCATTTCCTTACGCAATCTGCAATAATTATTAACGCGTATTAGCGCCTAAGACTGCAGGAATACTTCACGCATTGCGCCGAGCACAGTGCGATCGCCGCGCCACGCCGGTCGGCGCGGAAAGCATGTTAGCGCCTAAAAGACTGCATGAATATTTCACGCATTGCACCAAACATAGAGCGGTCGCTGCTCGCTGATCTGCGTGAAACGTATATCGACGGTGTAAGTCGGCAATCACATAACTCGGTTTGCGACGTCGCGTCGTAGACATCCTGTCATACTTTATTTTTCTAACGAAAAACTACACGAAGGCGATTCTTTAAAACTGCCGTAATTTTTCTACTCCGTGCGAAGAAAATTCTGCCAAAATTTCAATGAATGATGTCTTGAATTTGTTCTACTTTAAAAACATAACATAGAGGCAGAGATTTTCAAACACCGCAAACGAGATACGTGGTTGTGGACTTACGCCGTCGATGTGTATGGTAATTACCAATAGACTCTATGTCTATACTTATGGTCGCAAAAAACTAAACTCCAATCGCATGTCGCTATCCGCTGTCCGGTGCGAAATGAGAACGCAAAACGCCTTCAATTAGGGAGCTAGGCAATTTCCTTATCCTTAGGGTTACTATAATTGTATCATACCGTTAACCTAACTTACTACACTTGACAATAAGATCGCCCCATTTCCTCTTCGTCTCATTGTCTATCATTTTGTCTATTAATACCCATGATCAGCCTGCTTGTGCATTCCAAGCGATTTCAAATCACGATTCTTTCTTTTAATTTTCTGTGAATCTCCCCGAGTACAAGTTATTTTCCTAATGAAATCTGACAAGGCAGCGAGCTGCTTATTGAAATTAATAGACAAAGCTATGGACAAAGTTGACATAAAGAGTTTGGAGCGATCTTATTGGTTTAAATGGGTGGTCCCTGTAGACTAAGGAAGAAAATTATAGACTAACCATAGTATTAGGTCTCTTGTGATTTGCCGTTAGTTCGTCTATTACCTAGCCCGTTTGTCCATTGCAACCACCAGTTTTCACCAATAGGATCACTTCGTATCCCTTCTGTTTTCTTTGTCTATAAATTTCAATCATCGGCCCGCAGGTGAGTGCATTCGACCTAAAGGAGGCGCACGTAGGGATGGTGATCTACTCGAGCGAAGTGACGAGACGAATCCCGTTGATGAACAGCTTTACGATGGCGAAGCTCCAGGAGAGGATCCTCGGAATGCCCTACCCCCGCGGCGCCGCGAACCCCCACACCGGAATCATGAGAGCCGTCCGCGAATTCCAAAGTCTCCCGGAAGCTCGCAAAAGAAGCGGCGTCCCGAGGCTCTTGCTTGTCTTCACCAGTGGTCAATACGACCTAGGGGATGATCCTGCCGAGGCTGCAAAATTTGCTGCCGAATCAGGTATTGTAGTCGCTCCAACTGTGTAAGCTCATATATCGACGGCGTAAGTCCGCAATCACATATTTCGTTTGCGGTGTCTGAAAATCTCCGCCTCTATGTTATTTTTTTAAAGGAGAACAAATTGAGATCATCCCTTGAAGTTTTTCCAGAATTTTCTTCGCACAGAAAAGAAAAATTACGGCAGTTTTAAAGAATTGCCGTTGAGTAGATTTCCGTTTAAAAAATAAAGTGTGGCAGGAAGTCTGCGACAACGTAAACCGAGTTGTGTGATTGCCGACTTACACCGTCGATATGTAACGTGAAGGTACTTTAAGAAGCAAGTTACTTGAAGAAGATCGTAACTGCCAATTTTTCAGAATTTACTGAGTGACTCTACAGAAATTGCTCTTTAAATATATGACATTTGAATATCTGCCTCGGTGGAAAAAGGCTTAGCCATCTTCCCAGCACAGTGTACTTTTTAATCGTAAAAACCATGAGTGAGGACACAAACTATGATTTATAGCACCATTATCGAACATCAATGCATTGACTGTCAGCACAGAGTGGTATAGTGGCAGAAGGGTGTACCCGCCAAAATTTTTAAATTTTGTATTTCTGGCCCAATTCCTCCCACACAGCTTGGGTGATTGTGATCTGATTATAGATGGTATGTAGAGCATGTTTTGAAAAGAAATATGAAGGCTCCTCGAAAGAATCGAGTTTTTTCATGTTTTCTCAAAACTTGACTTTTGATATCCACGTACCCTTCTTCATATGACCCATTCATAATAAGTTGCGCATTTCTTTTTCAGGCATCAAAACCTGTGCGTTCGGAGTGGGTCTATCAATCAATAAGAAGGAAGTACACGCAATCGCGAACAACGACCCGGACTTCTTCTTCATGACGAAATTCAATGAGGCGCTAAAAGAGCAGATGGGCCGAGTGGTCCGACGGATGAAGAGCGTGCCGCAGACGCCAATGGTCGGGTCGGAGATAACAGAGACGATGAAGCGAGCCGGTGAGAAGAGGTACTATCGCGTGAAGGTGCCCGAAAATGGTTTGACCATCCAACTGCTCAACGAAAAGGGCGCGGCCCACGGGTTCTGGGCCTACACCCCCGCCTCCGAGCAGCCCTCCAGCGCCCTCTTCGATGGGGTTCTCGCCGCTGGAGAGACGTTCATCCCGCCGCCGAAGACTCGTGCACCGTCCAGAGACGTCACGATCGTCCTCGAGAGTTCTGAACCTGACAGTTTCGTCAGAATGAAGATCGTTGCAGGAGCTACGACCAAAGCTCCAGCAGTCAATTGAGTTAAACGACGTTGTGAAACAATAGTTAAATACATTCTATCGAGCAGCAGCGGAACTGATTTTTCAATGTATTGAATATTTCAGCTTTTTCACGGAATCCTCTCTTAACTTTTGAAACTTTCACGAACCAGAATCGTGACTCAACCCAGGGAACCAGAACCGGTTTCAATATTCCATCTCGTTACGCACCGAAATGAAAGATGCGGATTTAACATTCTGGATGCAAAAATAAGTGCGAGAACGCACAAACGCTGAATTCGCTGCTGCAGCAGTTACTTTAGCAATGTCAAGATGTACTACTATTGCGGTTAATTCAGCGTTTTGTGAGTCTCAGCGTTTTGGGATGTTAAATCAGCATCACTATTTCCGGTGCGAGTCCCAATCGATGTCACATGCCTTGTCAGGGGCTTCAACCCAATCGCAACTTAAAATGTCGGTTGAAAGTTCTTGCGAGGGAATCGCTTCCATCATGCAAAACATCATTTTAAGGAAATATAATGAAATTTCAAATACTTCCTTAAATTGCACAAATTTTTTTAAAAAAAAATAACCGATTAGAAGGAAGGAAAGGGGGGAGGACTGAAAATGAAAAGATTCGGTGTGAATTCGTTATCCGATAAAAGTCACCTTCAAAATCTCGAGTATGCAATTCCAGGGCTTCTTTATTTGAACAGTTGTTGCTGAAACGGATCATTTGAGAGAGAAGCAAAGTGTGAAGTACTGTATCACTAGCTTCAAAGTGAATGCAAAGATTTATTTCAGCGGTCATCATGACGTCAAATCATTATGACTCGTGATCATCCGTAGGAAAAAAGACCGAAATATTTAAAAACTAAATATTAAAACCTGAAACTTGGGGGATTATACGAATATGTTTGCATAAAAACACACAAAATTCTCAAATCAAAGCAGAGTTACGAAGCCCTGGAGCCTTGCAATCTTAAGAGATGTAATTACATAAGAAAAGTTGCTCATGATTTTATCATGTACTGTTCGAGGCCTAACATTCGTCATCAATATGAGCTTACACAGCATCGTCCATGAAAAAAGCGCTTTTGATTATTGTTTTGGATACTGGGGAACGTTTTCTGTCGAGAACTCAAAACCCGATCTTTCGAATCACCCTGACTGAAATCCTTCTTTATAAACATTTGCTTCACCAAATACATGCCTGCAAACATATGTACACACACATTTACACGTTTGCTTTATTTGATGACGGCTATTGTTTCTAAGCTTATTTTCATTATCAGTTTAAGAAACAGAATTAACAAACCATCGATGATTGGGATGAGACGTTCACTATGGCACCCTTCTTTCGCTCCACCATGCCTTTTGCAACCATTTGAGAAACATTGATTACAGCCTTAACATTGACATTGAAAGACCTGTTGAAGAAAGACAATGCAAAATTAGGACTTGATAAAATTTGGAATTTCAGTTGGAAACCGATCGTAAATTGAGGCTAGATACGTTACGATTCGTAATTTTGTTAAAGAAAGGCACTCCAAGACACACGAAAATAAGTTACGTCTCAGCACTTTGCCGTGCAGCTGAAGAGAACACTACGCAATCACTATTTGCAGGATGATTTTTGAAATTGATCGACAAAACTATAGACAAAGAAGACAAATTGAAAATGGAGTGATCCCGTCGGTGGAAGCGGGTGGTTGCAATGTAACCCACGAAGCACGAATAAGGCCCTTATAGTTAGCCCATCATTTTGAACCGCCCGTTTCAACCAATTGGATAGCTTTATTTTCCCGCTGTCTTCCTTGTCCATCGCTTTGTCTGTATCAGTTTTGATAATTAGCTCGCTGAACATGGCAGATAGGAATTTGAAATAGCTTTAACACAAAACTAGGTTTTATGAACAACAAACTTGAAACTATTACAACTTTAAAATATTTAAAGAATTAACGCTTTCACCAAGAGATGCTTTCTCTTGGAATTTTTTAAGTATTTTAAAGTTTTATTATAATAGCTTTTACTATTAAAAAAAAAAAAAAAAAAAAAAAAAAAAAAAAAAAAAAAANAAAAAAAAAAAAAAAAAAAAAAAAAAAAAAACTAGATCGTTTTATTAAACTTGAAACTGTCATAACTTTGGTTGGATTTGCGTTCTGGGCTTCGTCCGTCGTTGAATAATATTCCAAGAGGACTCTTCTATGCTCCTGTAGCAGGTTTCAATAACTTATTGAACTTTCGTGGACTAAGGCCCTTTATTCATTCGTGGACAGTGGCCAACCGAGTGACGTGTACCTGAAGAAAAATGCCTTACCTGTCGAAATCGTTCTCGGTGATGTCAAAGAAAGAATTGATGAATGCGACGCCTGCATTGTTGACCAAACCATCTACTGGTCCAACGTCCTTGAGCTTTTCCCTCGTCTCGTTCCAGTTATCCAGATCAACCTGGATTGGTCTGATTGACGGTACTTCCGCCTTTAAGTCGTCTAGCTGACTTGTTAAGTTCGAGACGGCAATGACTTGAGCTCCGCACTTGGCGAGTTTCATGCAGATACCTTTTCCAATACCTGCGCAAAAGATTGCAAAAAAAATCATGAAAATTCTGCTCAGGTGGTCGTATAGACTTCAGCAATTGTAGGAATTATGATTTCTGGCTCATCTATGAATACTTCTATGCGCATAGGGAAGCTACGTTGTTTCTAAACTGATTGCGAGCCAGAAATTCTAGTTCCTAATTATTAAACGCAGTCCGCATGTGAGTCAACTGTTTCTTGAGGGGGGGGGGGTGTTCTTTTGATGTTCAAGAAACCAGTTTTTGAGGGAGAATACGAGGAGCTCAGAAGTTATGAAGCATTGGACCACATGCCTGTCTTGCTAAGGAAGAACGGCGTATGAGCTTTCAGTCGTTGCCTTATTTCCTTCAGTTAAAAACAAATTTACTCGAAAAATTGTGAATATTTTTCTTCACAGGTTTGAGACAATGCATTTTGCAATATAATCTGAAATTTCTGAAAATTTCAAGTGAAAATATGTATAACTTTCCTCGAAAATACATTTTTTATCCCGGGGAATTTGGCAACTCTCGAATGTTCATACGACGCTCTTCCTTAACACACCAATGGACAGGTTACGAAACTAAGCACCACAGTATGATTCTCCTTATCAAAATTTTAAGTAAAACAAGATGACCGCATCCAAACTTCCCAAATTTAACTTTTAAGTTTTGAAATACTTTTACCAGCACTATCTACTTATATTTATAAGTTATAAGTGAGAAACTGCTCATTTCCTTGTCCCTAAAATTTTTATTGGAGTAAAGAAAATTGTTCCAGCTGAATTTCACTATCATGCATAACGGGCAGCTCTCGATAATGCTGCTGTGTGCCTTTGCCTGCCATTTTAACGAAATGGGTGGGAAGCTCATTATCTAACGAGTTCATTACCGAACTGAATGGGAACGACATCAGTAGTTAGAGAAGATCAAACCGCGAGGCAGTCAATGAACCGATCTCTCAGCCGCACAGTAAAGAGCGAATCTAAAAATCACGTTTTAACACTTCGCCCGGAAGAATATTTATAGTAACTGCGTGGAAATCGCCTTCAAACATTTGAATATACCAACCGCATGACTGCTGTCCACTCCAATAGTTACAACTGGAAATCCGGCGTATTCAGTTGCTTATGAGCCTGCGTTAGCTTTATTCACCATTTTATGTTCTAAGAATATGCAATCGGCACGTAAATATACATTTCCGTAAAAAATTCCTGCTATGAGTGGTACAAACATCTCAATTTTGAGTTTTTCGGCGCTATAAGGTTCCTTTTTTCGTGGGAGGGCACATGCAAGAGGATCCGAGAGCCGCACAACACCGCTCCAAATCTTAGAGTATTTGTGCCCTTACAGAGAGGTCTCCCTGAATAGAAAGGCTCTTGGATCTAGAGTCCAGACTCTTGAAAACATTGACAAGAAAAAATCCTCTTGACTCAATCGGATTTTTGCGTGAATTAAAAGGAAATCCGCTTAAATTAAGAAGCTTGGTTCTCGATCCAGGCACATATCCGGTTGAATCAAGAATATGTTTTCTTGTGAGTGTTTTTAAGAGTCTGTACTCTAGATCCAAGCGACTTTGTTTACAGTGCTCTCTAAAAATTGTTGGGGGTCTCAAAAGTCGGTTCCTTTGACCTAGAATTCACAAAAAGTCTCTATCTCATAATTTGCTCAAAAGTCACATAAATACTGCCTGGTGCTAGCTTTTTAGTGGCGTGGGATTTCTGGATCACCCTGTATGAGAATCGTTTAAAAGTTTGCAAACGTAAAAATACATATGTAAAAAGGATTGCACTGAGTACTTAGGCGGGAATTTCCGTTTTCTGCATGCAGCAATAACCCAATGCCCGTTGCGTAACCACGTTATTGATTAAGTGCTCTAATAAAAGCTGAACTCGGCTAATTTACGAACCTCTTATCGCACTGCTGATCTGAACTTTGACTGTAACAAGGCTTCACCGTCGGATGAATTGGGTAAATATAAACATATCAATTTTCACTCCAGTCGGATGCAAAAATATGGTAACATAAGTATTAAAAAAAAGAAAAAAAATCACGCGACCGCCCACACGTGACCGTAAAAATATAGTCAGGTCAGTATCCTCTTCGACCTACCGAGTTTAGAAATCACGTTTTTGCTCTGCCATGAGTTTTCATATTCCTAGCCTTTTCCATGTCCAGTACACCCAGGACTGTTGACGCTATTTTATTATGACGTCAGTATTGCGTCTTGTTTTTTTTAAACAGCTTTTTTAACGGCTGACGTTATTTTTATTCTTTTCCTGTAAATGCTGCGTAATACGCACAGACTTATATTTTTCATTCATTTATATATACTTTTTCACTATAATTTTATATAATATATTTTACGTAAAGTTGTCATTTCACCCTCTTGTTTGGTAGTGGTGAGACTATGACGTTTAGCTACGTGTGACTACTCGTTTAACAACAGTAGAGTAGACATTTGGAAGTTGTTGAGTAACTTGCTCACGGGAGAACTGAATGGAACAATACGTACTGTAACGTAACTGAACGTAATAAAATTGAACGTTACGTGACTGAACGCGAAGAATCTCAATACAGCGAAATCGAACGTAACATAGCGTTTCAAACGTAACGTAGCGTATGAAACGTAACATAGCGTTTGCAACGTAACGTAGCGTATATGAAACGTAACATAGCGTAAGAAACGTAACATAGCGTGGAATGGAGCGGGACGAAATACAACGGTTAACGATAGAATTAGCGGAGATTTTGCGACTTCGTCATCAGTCTTCGTTCATCACGGTTTTCGAGAATTTTCTCGGTTTTTTATCAGCAACCAATTGAATCAGACGACGGAGCAGTTTTTTTTCCTTTACCGCGAAAATTCTTTTTTTAAACCTATCTAACCCTTGCAGCAACACAGGACATGCACCTCTCGCGAGGATGGTGAGATAACGGACCGGTATATATTTATAAACAAAGTTAAAATAGAAAGAAGTGCATGGCCATACTTTTTTCTCGAATTTTTAAGACGAACACGTCAAACGAACTCTAAGATTCAAAAACTTGACTCCAAGGTAAGCACTCAGCGTTTACATTTTATACAAGATCCATGTTGATGCAGACTCTTCGCTTGTGAAAAAGACCGAAATTCACGGAAATCAAAGTAACCATAAATTAAAACTGCTTACCTATACTTCCAGGAATTAATTGGTACTATGACTTTCTATTAAAAAAAATCCCTAAACTTGAAAATTTCAAAAGTTTAGGGTCCCGTTCCGGTCATTAGTGAAACCCCAACGAGCCACGGAACCGTTAAATACGGATTTTTTGAGGCCGATTAAGTGAACATATTTTACGAAATCTCTACGTCAATTTAGCGACTTGGTATTTTAGAGAAGAGGGGCTCTGTGCCCAACCTTAAAAGATCAGAATATTGGACACGGATGGGCCGATCTTGGACTTCTTAGTATCGATTGAGGTTGAAATTTTCCGTCATTCCTGATTTTGATCAAGTAGACTCAACATTCTGTCGGGAACCATGACATTTAAAATCATGAATTCCCTTTTAAGCCCCTCCTCCCCCTCCCCTCAAGAAAGCCGGAAAGGGGCTTCAAGACTATGCGCAATTTGGGTTCCTCGGGGTTCATTCTTTTTTCACCCTCGCGATCCCCGACCTCTTCCGATCTGAATTAACCGAAAAAAAGTCTGGCGCAGGTGGTTTGGATTACCATGTGCAAGGTACAACCCTTTCCCAGACAAAAGAGTGTAATCACCCTCCAAAGTTGCAAAATTTTCACTCGCACATTATTTTCCTCCTGGTAAACCGTTGAGAACTTCGGACTGAAAACTTCACCAAATATTCTTCTGACTTTACGCGAACAGTCTGAAGATTTTGGATTGGAATTGCACAGATATTCTTATGAAACAATTTGATTATCTGAGCCAGTTCAGCAATCTTGGGATGAAAATATGTTCGTTTGTCAGCAGGCTGATTATTTCAATTGATAGACAAAAGTTTGGTCAAGAGAAAATGGATCACTCCTATTAGTTGATATGGGTGGTTTTTATAGACGAAAAGGGAAAATGATGGACTAATGGGCCTGTTGCAAACTTTTGCTATATCAAAACTAAGATTTGTTTCTTATAGATAATGCCTCAAAAATCACGATGAGCGCATTGGCAAAGTCTGAAATGCACTCATAACTTCACAATCTGCGTAAGAAATTTGCGGTTTTTTGAGCTTCCCGCTTCAAAAACGATACTACGGCACAGGTGAACATTTTGTTAGAGGAGGCGTTCCATCGTCGGCAATATTCATCATGGCCGACGCCAATTCGCCAAAACACGTATGATGAGACGAGGTAACACCTGAACAGCATTAGACCAGATAACAATCGGCGTGTTTACGTTCATATTTTCCTCGCCCGCCTTGATTGACCCTGAACTCACCTCGAATTACGCGCGGAACTGCAGAAGCGTCGGCCATGATGAACATTGCCGACGATAGAACGACTCCTCTAACAAAATGTTCACCTGTGCCGTAGTATCATTTTTGAAGCGGGAAGCTCAAAAAAACGCAAATTTCTTACGCAGATTGTGAAGTTATGAGTGCGTTTCAGACTTTGCCGATGCGCCCATCGTGATTTTTGAGGCATCATCTGTAGGAAACAACTCTTATATTTGCTCTAGCAAAATTTTGCAACAGGCCCATTGTAGGGTCCATGGGTTGTTATTAGTTAATCCTACATAAAATCCTACGTAGGGTTTGGCTTTTGACTTTAGAAGAGTGATCCCTGGTCAACTGGTAGTTCTGTCAAATGGGCAGGGCCAGATTAGCCGGGGGACCAGAGCGCCAGGGCCAGGGTGCTGTACAGAGACCCGGGTTCCCGGGCGATTGTTTTCTTGTATTTCAGATCCTTTAGGGGTCCTCGGAGTCTGAAAATCAGATTTTGAGAGGCCCTAAGCTTTACATTTTGAACGTCTTCGGGCCGTTGAATTTTAAGATTTGGGGCCCCTAATGACCAGCATGCACTCCGCGCTCCTGAGCGTTCATCTGGCCCTGAAATTCATTGTATGCATATCGTTGAGAACTTCCTTCAAAGATATCGAAGTGCGATGATTCACTATCGCAACTTTATTATTGCACCCGCATGCATGATTAAAATGATAAAATAAGTACTATAACGAACAAACATGTGTGCGTGTTCGGGCGAAGGTTCTGGTGACGACCAACTGTAAGATGAGAAAACAAAATGATTGGTTTATTGTTTCTCTTCAGACGTGGGGGCCCGAATTTTTTTTTGTAGATTCGCGGTCGACCACATGTTAAGGCAAGAATGTTCTATTCGATCGTTAATTAATGATTTTTATCGTAAAGGACCTAAGGCACGCTCGAGCATGCTGTAAATGAAGTTCAACTTGCGTACAATTTGAGTTTAAAATATAATTTCCTCGACTCACAGTCGAATTTATATGTTAATTGCCGCAACTCCTGGTCGAATGTTGCCAGCAAAATTCGCTTTGGCCGACGCGGCGACGGCGGCTAGGGTCGGTTTTATTTCAATAAGAGTCAATATTGATTAGAAATTCATTCAACGTGTCTAAAAGAGTCATCTTGGCGACTACTAAGTTTATTTAGGCGAATAATTTTTCTGGAAATTGTGACATTATCTTTCAATGCAGTTATTATTTCAAAAATACCTATATTAGGAGCTCTCATCATTTAGGGCATAATTTTTTTTATACTAAATAATACCCGCATATCAAATCTTTTCGACGAGTTTAAAGAAAACAGTTCCAACAAGGTAAAGAGGGAAAATGTATTATTTAGTAAAAAAGACGATATGTAATGAAAATTCCGGGAAAATTTATGTTGTGCAAATTGAAATAGCGTATTTCAAACCTCATGCTTGATATTTTCTCTAGTGTTTGCTATTTTTAATCGATTTAAGCAGAAAATTAAGCTACTAAATTAACATTTTGAATTCAAACAATGCGTCTTGTTATTCCCGAAACGTTCAATAAACCACCCCTGTAGGTAATTTCAAATCCTGGATGAAGTAAAATTCAACGGTAGGCAGAGATCGCTAAATCTCCATTGAGAAATCACTATAGAGACATTTTTTTCACAACCAATGTGCTACATTAGCATATTACGAATTTCTCTCTTCCCTACTCCTCTCTCCGTCTCTAAATGTTTTTTAAAAATAATACCAAGCACCAATGCAGTACAGCTGGTAACCAATATAACACCAAGTAACTACTAATTAGGAACTTCATCTAAAAACATCACCTAGGTCCTTTTACCAAGATCACGATAATCCAAAAGGTGCGATTTCTTTGGTTTCTCGACATGACAACTTAATCGACCCTTAGGTATCTAACCCTGTTCTACCTACAATTATTTTCAAAGAAGTTCGGTAAGTTGAAATTCGGAACAGGACTTGAACTTTATTGGACTAAACATAATGCTTCAATAATTTGCTTCAATTTATTTTAAACATAATTTCATTTTCCTACAATAGCGTATCTTTCCAATTTTACTCGAATCTATCACTTCAGAAATTAAATAGCCGTCAATCTCACTTTTCAAAAGTTCCTAAATCCTCAGTACTTGCCGCGCGAAATTTATGGCAGTATGAAATTTTTTTCAAAAATTGACCTAGACTTTCAAAAATTGACTCTTAATTTTGATAGTTTGAGAAACTATACCTTGGCCAGCTCCTGTGACTAAAACGGTCTTCCCTTCGAAGTTGAACTCCATTGCAGATGGTTTTTGGCGAGTAGAGAAAAGTATCGTAGGTTGAAAATCGAACTGATTTACCGTCCGTACAATGTAAAGCTAGGAACTACACACTGCAAAAAACAAAACGCGAATAGAGGAGAATCAACTTTACCTCAATTTATTATAAATGTACGCCATGTCCGAATCAGATCGGAAACTTATCTCTTACGTGCATTAGCCAAGATACCAAGGGGAGGGGGAGGGGGGAGGCACAATCAGTCTGAGACACGCCTTTATTTCGCATCGGGGTCGGCGGTTAATTGCTATTGTTCTCTCCTTCATTTTTGTGGATCTAAATTCTTGTTCTCCCTCTTGCTCGAACAGCTTTCGGTTATCGTTTACTCGAGATAAAAAGAAAGTCGAGTGTCAAAAGTCACGGTTTTAGCATCCTGCGAAAAGATGACCCCATAAAAAACAACATCGCTTATCGATGCCGCGTAGTCGCCTGGAAAAAAGTCAAAAAACGAGTGGGGTTGCTAATCGCAGGAGCGCAATGATCCGCGGTGGCGCGACCGACGACCCTCTTGAGAATAGTGCTAAGGAAAAACGCCGTATGAGCCTTCATGCGTTGCCAAATTTCCATTCATAAAAAGCGAATTTCCTGGTGAGCTTATAAATATTTTTCTTCCAATTTTTCAGATGATTTTGTCTGCAATTCCACCCTAAGTTCCTGAAAATTTCAAGGGAAAATATCCATAACTTTCCTCAAATATACACTGAAAAAAAAAAACTCCGGCCGTGGGAGCCGCAATTACGGGCTGTATAGACATACCGTCCGTTCCGGGCTATATAGATATTCCGTTCGTTCCGGGCTCAAAGGCCGAAAATTCCAGCTGCTGAAGGCGTAGCTTCGATTGCTCCGGGTTCAGAGGCCGAAGCTACAGCTCCAGCAGCCGGAATTTTCGGCCTTTGAGCCCGGAACGGACGGTATGTCTATATAGCTAGTAATTGCGGCTCCCACGGCAGGAGTTTTTTTTCAGTGTAAACATTTTATTGAAGGAAATGTGGCAACTCTCGAATGTTCATACGGCGTTCTTCCTTAGCACGGCAGAATAGCTGGAAATCCTTATTACTTATCAAGTACTTATCGCACCGGCACACACTGGACCGACTCGATAGGAAAAGTTGGACAAAATCTCGTAACTTTGAAAGCTTATATTTTCGAAAATATGAAACAATAACGTTTAAAAGTGGCAGCATTGGTTTTTTCGTGAAATTTCCTCGTAGAAACACCCCTTATAATTGAATTAACGCCGAAATAAAAATCATAATTTGAAGTTTTAGCCAAAAATTACATATCCGACCTCTTTTACTAGCTAGTTCTCCTGTGCGGCGCCTGGCATCAGTCAATAAAAATAAATACCTGAGGCATCGACGGTTGTTGCAAGCGATTCCACGCAGCTTATAGATGTTCCGAAGATGCTTTGTAGATGATCTGTAGATGATACGTGGACGCTAAGTGGAAATCTTCTTCCGCGCATTTCCTTGAGAGCTCGAGTAAGATGAAGCACTTGAAGTGGCAGTCGCTGTCTTCTTATTCTCTCTGCACCATTGAAACCTTCCTGATTCTCGTGTGCAAAAAGACTTCTCTGCAGTTTTCTTTGACCTATCGTGCTTTGATTCTACTACGGTCAAAAATCGTGTATTCAGGAGACTGTCACACCATGTATATCGTTTGCAGTGTTTAAAAATCATCGCTCCCATTCTATTGTTTGATTGAGCACAAATCAATATTATTTCTTGAAATTTTTACAGAGTTTTCTTCGCATATAAAAAGGAAAAAACACGGAAGTTTTCTTGAATTTTAAAAAATGAAGTATGACAGGAAATCTTCAAACCGAGATACGTGGTCTGATAGTTACACCTTCGATATGGACTTCCCTTTACGAACAATTTGATTACATGGAATCTTTCAAATGATTATCTGCATGGCCTAAAATGTATTACTTTCGTCGTATTACGATTGCCTTTACCCTAAAAAAGGAAATTAAGTCATTTTGCTCAACTTGAGAGCGAAAATGGGACAAGACGTCCTTATTCAGTGTTTCCAATGTTGAACTCGATGAATTTTCTTCTCCAGTGCCTTGATACAACTATTCGTTCTTAACGGATGTCAGTGTTGCATACACTAAAAATTCAAGGCGTTTTGTTTCTTGTTGTCTTCGCAGCAATTCGCGCTTCAAACTACTGCTTCAAAGCTTTGTGAGATTATTTATTTTAAAGCGCGAGTTTAAAGGAATCAGAATTCGTTAAAAGTGCAAAGTAGAAATGCTTTATAATTTCAAGGTAGGTAAACAAAGAAAATTTTGGGACACTCATAATTTCTCTATGGAGGTAAAATATATTTTTGAGAATATGCTTTTGAACCGAGTATATTTACCGTACTTTCCCTGAAAGCTAGTGACAGAATGTGTTTCAACTACTGTTCGAGAAAACTCTTATTATTTTGAAATATGGCCCAGGTTTTTTTTTGATAAAGTCTTGAATTTTCCGCTTACTCAGTTTCTAATCAGACTTTTCCCATTTTCTGGATGTCTCCGTATTTTCGCTGAGCGCCGCATCGTCATAACATAGGTTTTTCCATGGAGCGGAAAAGTTGTTGGTCGTTTGCCGATTCGCAATGGGCCTCTAGATTGCGTATATAAATTTAAACAGTATGCAACATGTATTCTCTTCAAAAGTTCACGAGGAAAATGAAACGATCAGGAGGTATTCAGAAAATCGACTCCTGAACAAGATGTTAGTGTTTAAACAATTAACGATGATTGATGCGTAATAAACACGTATGACGTCATTCTTATCATTTAACTTCAATTTGACCAGTGTAAAAAATAGTTGTTATTATCTCGTCCAGCTCCTTGATTGTTGAATCGTTATCGAATGACCTTGATCGATATATAGCATTGTTAAGATAGGGATTTATCGATCAGAAGCATTCGATAACGATTCAACAATCGACCCGCAGAGGACCTGATATCCAAACTTCCTTTTGCGTGAATCATCTTCTACGTTAAATTTGAGAGAGAAATCATGTGACTTCCTCTTGTAGTTTAAACCCTGACCAGTGGTCCAATCAGAGAAAGTACATTTTGCGGGAGATACCTTCCTGATTCACATATAACTGGAAACAAAAAAACAAAAACAAAAACAAAAACAAAAAAACGATAATCCACTTGAATTGAAAAAGTTTTCAACGTCGATCTGCTCATTTTCTTAACCCCATCACCAGTACGGAGGTCGTGAGAGGAAGACCGCTCAGTACACGTTATTTACTCCATCCAGTCAATCGCGTTGGTGACGTTGGTGTGTGTCCTCAGGTGCCGCATCGTTTGTTGCATACTCGCTTGTTTGAAGGAGTTTCAAACGTCAGAGATGTAATACTGAAATATTTGAATCCCGTAGCCCGTAGCAAACGGTGCTGCTGTGAAAACTTTGCTCTCATTTTATCCTCATCAAAAAATATCTGATCGATAAAAAAGAAACAGATATCATTTCCACCACTTGCGTTTTTTATTGAGAAATTTATCCATCGGAATTTTATCTCTACTTTTAGAGAATCGTAATCAGTCGAGGAAAACCGGTTGTTCAACGTCCCGTTTTTCATTTTCATGATTCTTAATTGCATCGTCTGCCTCATCAGTTTCACTCTCCACATCATTATTCAAAAAACGAAAGTAAAAAGATACTTAAAGAGGCCTCTAGACAAAGGATGAATCATGGCACAACGCAACGTGTTTTCTCTTCAAGCTTTCATGGGAAAACGAATCTAATAACGGGAGGTCTAGAATTTAACTTTTGTAGCAGATGTAAAAACTCATTGTCATCGCACAGAAAGCGTACATCAATTGATTTAAACTCATTGAAATCTTAAGGCATCCGTTTTGCATCAACTTCTCTCTTGTAACCAGTTTTATTTCGAAAAACACTCGACATAAATTATCGGCACCGTCAGAAAATCGGAAGCGTGAATGCAAATTTTCCTCGCTTCGTCATGATATCTGTCGCTTCTGATTTCCAGATTGTTGGTCATCAGAACTTAAACCCCGCGGGCTGATTATTGAATTGATAGAATGGACAAAAAAAGAAAGTAAAAGGCTAACGGCAACCCACGAGAGACGCCATTAGTCTATTAGTCTAAAAGTCTCGGTTGCAATTCAAGAACACCTTGACTCAAATTTTAATTTAGGCGTCGAGACGTGTTATGCAATACCTAGCCTGGATATCAACTGATTGTGAGTCAGCCCGATCTGAGCCAAAATATTGCTTTTCGATAAGCAATAAACCATCGATAGACGTAAAGATCACGATGAATAGATAGTTTTGTCGCGCGAGCTCACTCACGTCATCAAACGCCCCTTGAACGTCAACAACAAAACATGGCACCTCGAGTGACGAAACCCAGAGCCCCTTCAATCAATTAAGAGGCGAAAAAGCGTGGGCGTATGACCGCCATTTTGATGACGCAATCATGGTGACCCGGTGAGGGGGGAGGTGAATGAAAGACTAGAGGGAGCGTTTACACGTAGCATCCGATGAACCCCAACTTTTAGCACTGAAGCTTATGAGCGTGAGGAAGCCTTATGGAGTGGAGAATGTATGAAGTAAGATTTTAAATTGCCCGAGAGTTTAATATAAAGTCATGGTTTGTCAGCCTTAAAATATACTCATCGGCAATCAATTCACCCCAAAAATTTTACACCTTTCTCTTAAAAATAGAATAAGTAATACAATTTACCATCGGACTCTAGTAAGCTAATACTCACTATAACAAAAATTGTATAGGTGTAAAATTTATTACATAAATACAGCGTTTTTTACATCAATCAGCTTAAATTTAATCAAATAGATTTATTTAAAAAGCAGATAGTATTAATTTATGATCTAAGGATTGCTGGGTTTCCTCTTTTTCTTGGATTTACAATTAAATGAGTAGTAATTATTTATCTTTGATACTTCGGTTTTAAATTTTTGGTTAGGTTAATAATTTTAATCTCCTCCTCTCTCTCTCTCTAGCCCCTCTCGTCACCCCCTCTCTCCCCGATTGTTCCTTCTCCCTCGAATCAAGTTTACATCCTTCGTAGCTAGGATACTCCCTTTCCTAGACGCAATCTGATTACCTCCAAATGATTCCTGCTATCCGCAAAACTGGTCTTTCCTGCTCCAATTTCCCTTTATATCCGCCAATCCAGCAGTTTTGAAGGGCCACGACTTTTGGCTATCATGTTTTAATAATAATAACCAATCCTCGCTCAATCTGTGTTCCTCGTCAATCGTAGCGGCGCGGCGGCAGCCGGACAGGCATACCGAAACCGAATATGTGTGATACAATTATATTAATGTCTAAGTAGCTCAAATTGCATACCCACTCAGTTGAAGGAAAACTTAATTTCCTACTCATAGTCATACTCCACCACGCTGCGCGCTGTTCATTCCGCTCCCTCATTTGGACGTATTTCTGTCAAACGGAACTATGTGCATTAAGACATGAGCCCTGAGACCCATAAGCATACATGCACAACAGAGCTCACGCAATAAAGCACATAGTTCCGTTTGACAGAAATACGTCCATTTATTGTTGAACTGAGGATGAATGAGCATAATTTCAAACCGTTGAAGTAAACAAAAACGTCTGACTATCATCACAGAGAGGAGATACATTCTTAATCGTATTTCTTAGGGCGTATTTGGTTTAAAAAACATAACAATTATTAGGATGTGCATATTTCATGGTACCACTGCTCCTAGAAAGGAATCAGAACAGATTCTTGAATATTTCTGAGCTATGAGTGTAAGTAGGTAGTTTTACTTTAAAAGCGGTTAGAGGTGTTTAAAAACGTCGCAAAATATCTTTAATGTTTACACGAATCACGTCAAATTTTACTGCTTGGAAAAATGTTGAAACATATCGCATTCATTATTACAAAATATTGCATAAAAATCATCTTGAATTCTGATATCGACGACTAAAGTGCGTTTAAATTATATTTTTTGTTATTATTTATATTTTTGTTGAGTTTGTGTATGTTCAGACTGTCCAGTACACAAAAGAAAAAGTGCTTTTGTGTTACATTGTGTTCCATTCTGTTACATTGTGTTCCATTGTGCTCTATCCGAACGTGACATCATAGTGATGTTCACCGAGCACTCGAACATTACATAATGACATTATAATGACGTCATTATGATTTCATTAAAGCAGTATTTGACGTCAAATGACGAGGTCATTGCGACTTATAGGTACTTACTCTTACTTACCGAGGCACGGGGACTTCTGAACTAAATTTAACTGGTAAAAATACAGGTTTTCAGGAGAGCACGTTTTGCAAAAACCATTGGCATTTCTCTGCGAAAGGGTCAATTTTTATCTTTGATAATTTATTTTATAGCTATTGAGAGTATTTAACATAGTATGTTAGCAGATTCCCCCAAAGCATTGTCCAAAAAATGACAAACAGGAACCTCAATTTTTTAGTAGCATTACAGGTTGGAGAAGACGACTTTGGTGATACTGTTGGGAACTGAAAAATAGCCCCACCAAAGAAAATCCTTGCCCCATTAAGGGGGAGAGGAGGGTTTCCTAAAGTCCATACAGAAAGTTTAAAAAATTAATGTTCAATTTCTTACAGACGTTGCAGCTCATTATCCCCTCTGATATTGGACCAAGTTTAGCAACTTTTTCGGCTTACACGCTAACTTCAGAAAGTGACGCATCTTCGCCACCAAAGAAAATCCTTGCCCCGTTCAGGGGGAGAGGAGGGTTTCCTAAAGTCCACACAGAAAGTTTAAAAAATTAATGTTCAATTTCTTACAGACGTTGCAGCTCATTATCCCCTCTGATATTGGACCAAGTTTAGCAACTTTTTCGGCTTACTCGCTAACTTCAGAAAGTGACGCATCTTCGCCACCAAAGAAAATCCTTGCCCCGTTAAGGGGGAGAGGAGGGTTTCCTAAAGTCCACACAGAAAGTTTAAAAAATTAATGTTCAATTTCTTACAGACGTTGCAGCTCATTATCCCCTCTGATATTGGACCAAGTTTAGCAACTTTTTCGGCTTACACGCTAACTTCAGAAAGTGACGCATCTTCGCGGTCCGACGTGCCTGTGGCCTGTGTGCTTGGCTCTTTTCTGTTCAATTCGGTCTAATATTATGATAAAAGACCTTGATTATGATTACAGTTTCCATTAAACTTGACACCTTTCTTTAATAATATTTTCCGAAGAGTTTTGAACTTTCTCATGTCATCTAAGAAACGTCGAATTTTTAACTGACTCAGTTTCCTGAGGGTGGCAGGGCAAAAATATTGAAGGTACTTCCTCGACAATAGAGATGGACCGGGACCTTTCCTTTTGTCTTGCCATTGGTGTAACGAATATGACTTGGCACCATGTAACGGATATGGCTTAGAGTTTTGGTATATAATTTTTCTTAATAAAAAAAAATAAAATGTTCGGCACCAGTTGATTTTATAGTTTAACCAACAAACTGATGATGGATAAGTGTTGAGGAAAAACACGAGAGTTCTTGAAATGACTTGTATTGAAAAACTTTTCAAAGAGATCACAATTTCACAAAAAGGTAGAATGTCAGAAATCACACAAAATGCACCGTAAAATTAAAGAGAATGGCACGACGTTTCGCACCAAAACGCCAGACGCACGTTCAAGAAACGTTCTTGAAGCGCGCGTAGGTTAAGGGCCTTTGTCTTCACGGGACGTTTCATGGGATTTGTCCAAGGGAAAACCTCATTTTGCGAAGTTGGAAAAATTTTGAGCTAGTCAATACTAACCACAAGCCAACTAAGAGTCATTGTGGAGTCTCAGAAACGACTTAAAAAGAAGAAGAGGAAGTAATTTTGCCGTGGTTTTTTAACGGGGAAAAGTCCAGAAGTTTCTTCGAACTTGGGAAAAATCCCGTGAAACGTTCCATGGAGACAAGGCGTAAGAGGGGCTAAGGGGGCTGGAAACCCGGATGGCAAACTTTGCAACGGCTAGAGGAGAAACGAGTGGGATACCTAAAATTACAGTAAATGAAAATATGGGGCGCGGTGCCCTCAATAACAGTTCGTCAAGCCATGGGTATTATTTACCAGACTCTTAAAGTCCCTTCAACTCGGTGGGTATGCAATTTGATCTCCCGGGAGTTTAAATAGTTGCTCGAGGTCGAAACGAGCGTCCAGCCCAGCAACGACGGAATCACCGCACTCTTTTAAAGGTCCTTCATTTCGGTGGACATGCAATTTGATCTTCGGGGAGTTAAAATAGTCGTTCGAGGTCGAAACGAGCCAGGAAAATCTACAGTGTCGCGCTTAGCAAAAAAAAGAGAAGCAACTTGTGATTCATGGCCGGATTAAGGGGGTGGCCCCATGGGCCGCGGCCCATGGCGGCAAATCTATAGGGGGCGGCAAATTTTGCAATTTTTTTACATGTAGGTATAAAAAAAAATCACATTTAGAAAAAAAAATACAAACGAGAAAAGGCGACCAAATCTCTCATTTCCTGAAAGTATAGCAATTTCTAATTTTGTCGTCTTTCAGAGATACAAGAGACAGCACTTTTAATTAGTCGAGTTAAGATTGATACCAAACACGCAATTTGGCCTGGAACGGCCAAAAAGACTTAGAGAGAAATGATGACGAGGACTTGAGATGAAAAGAAGAAGCCCTCGGTGCGGCGATCGGCATGTAACACATATTAGCGCATACAAGACTGCACGAATACTTCACGCATTGCATCAAACACAGTGCGGTCATTGCGGTCAGCGTGAAACGGATAGCACCTGCAAGAATGCATGAATACCTCACGCATTGCGGTAAACACAGTGCGATCAGCGTGAAACGCATAGCGCCCACAAGACTGCGTGAATACTTCACGCATTGCGTCAAACACAGTGCGGTCTGCGCGGCGCGGCGGCGGAAGTTAAAACCACTAATCCACATTTTATGTTTGTTCTTTCATAATTTGTTCGTTCATTTCTTATGAATGGAAGGCCTTGTCCACACAGAGATAGGTTCACGAAAATTAACTTTCGCGCAAAGTTTCGTGAACTTTGGATAGTAGTGTTGACAGGGCTTTCCCTAAAAATGTGTTCAATACGAGTAAACACGAGTCTTAGTATTGGTCTTATGCACCCCTCCTTCGCTTGCATGTTCATTTAAAGGTTTTTATTGATGTTTTAAAACGAATGAGAAGGGGGCGGCAAAATACAGGCGGCCCATGGGCGGCAAGTAGATAAATCCGGCCCTGTTGTGATTCCTTTTTATAAAATGCATTTGTCGGATGTCTACGCAAATCTAAAGTGCGCGGTGCAGTTAAAAGCTTTCAAAAATGCTTTGGAGGGTTTGATTTTTGCCATAAGTTAGTAAATGCCCTCCTGCATGATACGCAATCCGTCATAAACAGGAAATTGACGATTTGACCCCCGGTTCTTGTTTGCTTAAAGCCGTCCTTATGAGCCACAGAAATTTTATTTAGAGAGATGAGTAATGAAAATATGTGGAGTAAGTCAAATTATAGACTTTCATTTCAGTCATAATCTATGACCCTTAGTATATGATATTTCTTGTAGACTGGGCTCGGAAAAAAATTAATAATAGAGAACCTTTAGAAGCGGGAATTCTGTATGGGACTTTAGGAAGTCTAGGTCATGAACTGACCGAATCAAGTAACATGTCAGTCCCGAATTTTGTCGCTGTTCCCGTCAATTTTGAATGTCTCATGACGAGAAGATCGAGAACTTCCAGTTTCGTGTGAACGCGCCCTGAGGCTCCGTCACCAAGATGGCAGGCAGTCGTAGCTGGTTAGATCCACCTTGCTCCGCGCGACTGCGCCAGTGCTGCTCCCTCTGCTCCTACAGTGAACGCGTATTATCGAGTGATCGCTCCGCTGTTCCCGATTTTGTTCTGTGTCATCTGTGCCATTTCTCTAGTGATTTTTCTCCATGTCGGCCTTGTTTGCCTTACTTGAGATTTAGTTGTTGGAATTACTACGCGTCCGTCCGTCCTAGTAAATTTCGTCGTTGTGGTGAAATTTGGTTTATTAGGTCACCTTTGTGTTGTGCTTTGTTGTTGGTATTTTTACCCGAAGTAGTCCGAATTCGCTTTCAATCGGAATACTTAAGTACCTCTGAATAGTTTTATTTTGAAGTGATATTATTATTTTCGTCAGTTCCTGACCCAACTATCACCTCTGTCGTAACCGTGACACTTTCTCTCCATCAATCACTTCCTGCTCCCTAAAGGTAACAATTGTTTTGTGCTGTATCTATACTTCAATTTTAAGTCCTTTATTCCGAATAAAATACAAACATACTTAATTTATCTACTGACCAGAGCAAGGTTATATATTGGCTCATGACCATTGCTCAAGGTTCGTAATGGGCATTTGGATGATTTACGCATATTTGACAATGAACTGTTGGATTGGCAGAGCCAGTAATAGTCCTCTTTCACAGTGGACCCATAGGAACATGTTGGAAACAGAATGAGTCAAACCAAAGTCCTTATAGAATTGCTTCCAATTAATGTCTCAGACCACTTTAAGTTCGTGGATGATGCGATGTTGTTCTGCAATTAGTGTAGTATTGGCACTATAACGTAAGATTTCCGAACAACTTCCTTAACCTGTTGTTCCCCTAGTTTGATTACATTGGTCCTATGCAGACCAAGGGGAATTAGTGCATATTCGAGAAACATTTGGAAGGTAGTGAAGCACCCAATCGGGGGAATCTGTCGCCAGATCGAGAAATTGCAAAGAAAATCTTATTATCAGACAACGTAGGTCTCTTGACCTTGGCTTCGTCAATCCTTGATCATAATTGAATCGTGGAAACAAAGGTGCTGGCTAATGACAAGTAAACAAACGGTAACATATTGGAAACTATGAGCAATGCTGATGAAAGCTTGCTGCGAGGTGACATCAGTTAGCCAAATGCAATATGCATCTATTCAAAATTGTCAGAGAAATGATGCGGAAATACTATGCAAATTAACCATTTACTCCCTCAAAAAGCTATCAATAATCGTACATGACATAAATTAGTAGTTCAAGTGATCTTGTAGTCATTCATGTCGAAAGGTTTTTTTTCCTTCTTTTGTACAGTTTGAGACTTGATTTGTATTGCGGTTCATGTATATGGAGCTAGAATAATCGAAAGGAAAGAATTGACATAAGTTGCATCAGGGAACAGTGTCATTCAGCAGGGGTTCAGTGCAAACTAATGGGCTAACCATCGATCGATGCACATCAAGTTGATGTGACATCCTCCCAAACATTTTTTTCCTCCAGTTAAGTTCTAATTTCAAACAACTCATAAGTATTATGAATTGCTCAGTTTAAAAGTGACGTACTTATCTCGATTTTAGTGTTTCAAAATTTCTATTCTTATTTTGTTATTTATATCGGAAACAAGACACTGCTAGGAGCTAGGTATTGCTAGAAATTTCCCAGAGTGCTCCTGAAAAGAAGAAAAAAATACACCAAAACCTTGAAGAAACTGTCCATGTCAAATAGCTTTCAGTCAAGGAGATAGGGTAATAAAAAGTCAGCAAACATACCTGACTAAGGTTTGTAGTTTCTGATTATGGCCTTTGATATTCAAAAAATTGGACAAGTGGTTTGGAGAAGAATAAGTAATTAATTTTTTAATCACTTATAACAGGAATTAATCCCTCTAATTTTTTGAGTAACTTTCTTCGTCACATTAGTGTAGATCATACCTACTGCGCAGCTCAATGAAAAATCTCTCTACTTAGGTATTTGTGTCATATTCAAAACAGTTGGTGGACGAGTGAGCCATAATAGTACGTGTATGAAAAACTGTGTCAATCAATTTCCTGCATCATCCTACGTTATAAACTGCATAGTGAATGCCCTTCCTCTTTCTGTCTATTTTCTTCTGTCTTCTTGCTAACAAAAGCATTCAATGAGAGAATTTAACTTAAGCTTTGTTTGTATGTATGAATTCAATGGACTTCCTCCACTCGCTACGTTTTCCATTATTTCCAGAACCATAGTGATATAATTTCAGCAGAAAGTAGGTTTTACATCCTTTTTACTCGGTTCCTCATTCGCTTTCACAAGTAAATTAGGGGTAATATCTAAATATCATAGATTCTCAAAACTCAAATCTATGCTTTCAAGTATGTAGTGGAACCTTCTATTCATGTTAAAGCAAAACTTTCTTTTGTGACCTATCTGTAGGTTCCTTGTTGGTGCAGATAACGGAAAGGGTTATTTTAAGACTAGACTAAAATTAAGCTTTAAACTGTCCCAATTCAAGGAAAGAGCTGAAAAAACTTTGATTTTTCACTGAGAAAACCAGAAGTGATAGGATGGCAGGACAGGAAGGATCATTTGGACTACATCTTGCAATTAGAAACTTCAATTTCTAGCCTGCCGGTAACAGCACTCATGTGCATAGGGTAACTAACCGTACATACGTTGTTTCTTAATAGAATCAAATATTGTAGTTCCAAATTTCACACGCAGATTTTAGTGCAAAAGCTCCTAATTTTTAGGGTGATGAGGAATCCGAGAAATTTCGTTATGTGTCGAAAAGCTGGGGATTACGAAATGCAACTTTATATCTTCGGTTTTGTTTCAAAGCGTCCAACGGTACGAGGAAACAGAAAAAAGTGTAGTTGGTTGGTAAAAACGAAAAAAATTCACATAGTGTGGAGGAAAGCGAGGAACGATTGAAAAAATTGCCGCCTCACGCGTTGCCCTGCAATGGAAAAACGCCGTGTGAACCTTCAGACGTTGCCGAATCTACCCTGATAAATGAAAACGTTTATTTTGAAAGAGATATACGCATAACTTCCCTTGTAATTCTAGGTATTTTAGTGTAAGTTCCGAAGAAAATCGTCTGAAAATGTTGAAGAAAAAAAGTCTCATTTTTCTCGTTAATTCGGTTTTTATCGGAGGAAATACAGCATCGTCTGAAGGCTCATACGGCGTTCCTCCTCAACACGGCAGTATGATGACATACCAAGGTAGAATGCAGCATGAGATCTTGTGCGTTGTCAGATTTTCGTTGATTAAATAGTAATTTTCACAGTGACGCGTGACTATTTCAAATTTTCCAAGAGTTAAGCACAAGTAAAGGAAAAAGAAAAAAAATGTACATTTTTACTTTTTTTTCTTTTTATAGTTGCTAATCTAATATTTTGGAAATTTTCTCGGAAGAACATTCATGGATTTTGTGAAAAATAGGTATATCTACTATAGCGGGAGAGACTCGGCAACGTCCAAGGTTTGATAGGGATAGGTGCACTCGCAGCATTGTTGCCGTATACTGGTGAAAAATTAGGACTTATCTTTTTTTAAACTCGTAAAATATCCATACATTATCACATAATCTGACAAAATTGAATTTAGATTATCCGTGCGTAGCTCTCGAAAGGGAATTTCACTCGGAAAATTCTAAGCAAAAACGCCTTATGAACATTCGAGAGCTGCCAAATTTCCTCCGATTAAATGTTTATTTTTGAGGAAAGCCTCGAATATTTTGCCTTGAGTTTCTCAGGAACATTAGGTAAAATTGCGAACAAAATTATCTAAAAAATTGGAAGAAAACTATTCACAAATTTTCCCGAGAATTCCTGATCTACCAAAGGGAATTTGGCAACGCTCATACGGCGTACTTCCTAAGCACGGCAGTATACGGTAGAGTATTGCCGTGTCTGTGCCGCTCTCCGATTGGGTCATCAGTTTTAGGCTATCATGGAGCTCCAAAAATGGACCGATGTAAACAAACCCGATCCAGAGGGACACGTGTGTTATCGGCTGAGAAATGAATGATAATCACACTCAAAGGTTAATTTTTGGCATAAATATCCATCAGAGTTTGAGTCCAAGCAATTTAGAAGTTGGATCTTAAAAAAATTCCATCACATCCAAAATCACGTCTAGAACTCTGTCGCTATCATGTTTGTTTACATTGGCCCAAATACGACCAAACTAGGAGCGAAAGGGCTGGGGTTTATTTACATTGGTCCAACATTGGGGCTCCATGATAGCTGACCAATCAGAGAGCGGCACAGTTTTACTGCAGTAAGAGGATTGAGATGGCAATACTCTCCCGCATACAGGTAATCCAAAAAATTCTCAGCAAATGAACTTTTTGAACGGTGAATTCAAACTTCCCGCTCCCGAAAAAAAAACCATGATCAACGTAGGATGTGAGACTGATCAGGAGCCGTCCCTAAGTTACGTAATCCTCTAAGGGGGAGAGCTGAGCAGAGGAGAGCGTTACGCCATCTTGTTTTTACGTGTTAAAGGATAGGGACCTACGTTACAAATACGATAATAAAGGGGGGGAAGGGGTCCAAAGTGCTTAAAAAGTGAGTTACGTAATTTAGGGACGGCCCCTCAGGCGTCGAAATCAACCTTTACGTTGGGCAAATGACAATAACTAGAGCTTCCTTTCACACACATTTCCCCCCTCCTCTTCTTATACAAGGTACCAGTAAACTTGTAAGAAAGGAAGAAGACAAAGTCAGCAACTGTACAGTGAAATCCTTGAATCCTAAAATATACCGAAATTGCTTTAGCAAGGGTTGCGGAATAGTCTTGATCACGCGATCAATCGATCATGCGCATGTGATCGCGCGGCTACAAACTCTCGTGAGGATGGGGAAAGCCCCCCCCCCCTTTTTTTTCACCCATCTCAATGGGTTTGCAGTTAACTTATGTAAAAACGCTGACATGATGAGACGTCATGCTGTGTCATGTGCTGGAAGTGTCTCTAGCGCGCTCCTTTTGAGGAAGGAAACTGTTTAGCAAGTTGGTCTATGTAGAGGCGCTATGACAGCAAAATTTCAGATTTTGGGGCAGGCAACATACGTATCTATGTCGCACGCAAGTAGAAATCGCCGGCAATTTGCGATTTATTCGTGTTGAATTGTGAAAATTCAACAATTCAGAAATAAAGATACGAGATAGAAAGTATTGATTATTATAATCGAAACTCAAACGGACATTGGTTCCTCTCGAATGGCTTATAAAAGCTTACACACGTGCGAGTGCGTGTAGGAAAATCAATGACTTCACATGTTCGGTTGGGTTAGGCAACTCAACTAACTTATCGATAAAGCGGAGAGTATCACCGGGATTTGAAGGCGTCCCAGCCCGGGCACGTGATCGAGCATTTTTTGCACCCCTGCATGAGAGGAGTTTTGAAGTTTCTCATCGAATTCTCATTTTTGTCACGGGTCAATTACGCAACCCTCTAAGAAATGG